AAAATAGTTTAAAAGTTTTTAATATTTCTAAAAAAATTAAAAACTAAATAATTTAATAATCAAATTCTATAATATTATTATATATAAGTAATACAGTATACAGCTACAGTAATTTATTATGATAATATAGTGGTGTGGAAGTAGAATATATATAATTTTACTAAGGGTAGTTATGAAAAGTATATAGTTAAAGAAAGATATATTTTATTTATAGTATAAGACTTTAATTATAAAAGAAAATATTTTTATAACTAAAAAGTATTTGTATCTAAAAGAGTATGTCTGAGTTTATCTGATAGAAAAAAAAAATGACAGAATTTATATATTTTTTTTTAAACTATTAAAACCAATAGAAATAGTAGAAATGGTAGAAATTGTAGAAATAGTAAAAACAGTAAAAACATTAAAATGATTAAAATGGTAGGAATAGTTGAAATGGTTGAAATGGTAAGAAGGATAAAAATGGTAAAAATAGTAACCATTCTATCAGTTTCTAATGCTATACAAAACTACTTAATAAAATACAAGAATATAATATAATATAATAATAATACTAATAATAACACTAATAATAAAAATTAAAAAACTTGTTCTATAATACTATCATTATCATATTCTGGTAAAATCATCAGTATGTTACCAAAACTACTAAAACACTAATTGACAATGCATTCTATCAAGGGTCTTAAAAATTTAAAAATCGGTTCACTCTCACGCACTCATGTGTGAATCAGCCAATGCTGAAGTTTCACATGATGATAAAATTATTCGAATTATTCATTATATAATTCTTTATTCGAATATTAACCGAATATGAATATTATTCGAATAACGAATACGAATACGAAACTTGTCGGTAAGGTATCCCAACCCTAACTGATACTGTAAGTGATTGACGTAACGATACGTATTACAACTCTTTATATCCGATGAACGAATCCTTTTTTCCTTCGTAATGCATTTGATGAATTGCTTTCCAAATACCTTAGCAGCAAATCGACTACATGTGAATACTTTGATTCCCGTATTAAAGTTTTACAAGATCCGACAAATACAATAATGGGAATGCAAGAGATCATTGAGTGAAAAATATATTTGCTATACATGATCTTGAACCATATAATTTATTAAATTTGAAATCTACTTACATTCATTAGGTTCTGACAAGATTTCAGGATTGGATAGCATTCTTTCAAAGCATTTGAATTATGCAACTTTCACAAGTAGATAATGTTAAATGCAATGGCAGAAATACGTGCAATGAAATCATTGTAAATGTAAAAAAATGAAATTGCTTTGTGGTTGTGGTAGTAGTTGTCATATAAATGTATACATTTAATGTAGTGCTTCTAATCTACATAATTAATTTGCAAAGCAACATACTCGATAAAATAATTTAATTTTATTGTATATAAGTTGAAATTGAATTTTTTAACAATTTGAATGTGATTTTGAATTCAATTATAACGTTTATTCGAAATCAATCTAAGTGGATTTTAAATCCATAATAATTCCATTCCGACAAGTTGCAAAAAAAAATTTTTTTTTTATGGAGCTATAGGTTTTTTTTCTTTGTGGATCTTTTGTCCTGTTATCCGTCTTTTTGAGCATTGTCCGCATTTTTTTTTTCTTGTGGAGCATTGTCCTTATAAATCCTTCATTTTTTTGTTTTTTTCTGTGGAACTATCGTCTTTCATCTTTTTGGGCTTTAGTCCTTTGATGGCCGCTTTTCTTTTTAAGTGCGAATAAGTGCGAACTTAGTCGCTAGTTTTAATGTGAACGTCGCTTTCCTTCTTAAGTGCGAACTGCTGTCGCTTGTTCCGGGGTTCATTACAACCAATTTTGTACTTCATAACCTCGGCTATTAAACCTTCCTGCCTTTTTTGTTGAAAGTATCTTCGCGACCGGAATTTTACCGGTAGTACCTTGATGCGGGATTTTTAATTTTTACGGCACGTCGGCTGTTGTAATTATTGTCCCCGCTAAACTCGAACCGGAAACCTTGTGATTGAGAACCCGGGAGCACAACCACTACATAAAGACCCGCAGATCCGAATTTGATTAATTTTATCTTTATTTCATATAATACACTCGGGAATGAATTTTTAATAAATCCGGTTCACTTTTTTAGGGCCAAGTGTTATAATTGAATTGGTCCAATTGAAATTTAGTTAGAGTATTGGAGAAATAAGTGTATGCTATTTGTAATTAAACCGATATGTGACACCTTTGAATTGCGCAAATCGCATAATAACGTGAATACCGAATACAATACGTATAAGATAAATTATGCGAATCTGATGCAAGATCATGATTTTTACTTTTTTTATCGAGCCTAAAAAGCTTGACTTACGTCCGATCAAAAAAAATCAAACCCATCGAATAAAATGAAAGATTTAAAAAATAAAGATTTATTAAGATCAGGGCTAGATTAGAATGATATTCAAAATTTTTTGGTCATAACTAGTCTATAGGTAAAATCAATCAATCATAACAGCTTCGATCCGGTCACGGATTATTTACACCCAGAACAAAAAAATCATAATATCAGATTATTTGTTTTCTGGTTTTGAAATTGTAATATTGATTTACGAGCATAGTTTAAATTGAAGTTATAAAGCTATAACAATTTGAACCTATATTAAACCCTCCTTTACTAATAAATCTTCCAATTCACCCGATTGATGCATGTTAAGCATGATATCACATCCACCAATAAACTCTCCCTTGATATATACTTGTGGGACAGTTGGCCATTTACTAATAATAAACAATAAACGATTAGCATTAAATAATGAATTAATAGAAGAAATTGGATTATTTGGACATACGAGTATTCTTTAACTCCTTCTCTTAGTTCTTGATCTTCTAACACATTGAATGTTTTTATCCTCTGAAAATCCACGCCTGTTCCAAGAATAACAAACTTGTTTAGATAATAATTATAAACATTACTGTCACAGATCATAATAAAATCAGATTAAAATAATTTGTGGTCCTTTTTTAAGCCTTTGAAATCCGTATATACTCTTTGAATAATAATCATAATCCTAATCCTAAATTCTAATCAAAATTCTAAAAAAAGCGTACCCCAAAAAATTCTTGCGAACATATGGGCTAGGTGCTGCAAAAAGAGACGAAATTGACAAAAAAAAAGATCTTCAGAAAATCAATTTTTATATTATAAATCTTATAATAAATCATAAGAAAATGCAAACTTTAAAGAGCTATACTACAAAATTTTATTAATATAACTACTTTTGTGTCTTAAGTAAAAAATGACCCTAATCTTATTCTAAATTAATTTATGTAAAAAAAATTCTTTTGAAAAAATTGCCAATTTCGTCCCTTTTTGCAGCACCTAGCCCATATATATTTTTAATTAAAATAGGACCGCGCTTCATTTTAATCTGATTTCATTTTAACCTGCCACAATTTTTAATATTATCATAACAAAGAACATTTGATTCTTAAACCTTGTGTATTAAGGATTTGAACTACGGCTCTGCTGAATCCGCACTATATTAAATTGTATAAAATGATATAATTAATGAAGCGTACTTAACAAAATTTCAAAAGTTATCATAATTGAGATAAATTACTTGAGGATTATCAGGGGTTCCCTTCATGAATAACACCACATCATTTTTTTGAACAGACTAATAAGCGTAAATAATAATAAACTACAAATTATCATATATTCTTCACAATATATTTAATAAACTGTCTCTAAGAAATGAAACGCAAACCTCATCAAGAGTTCGTTTCAAAGTATCTGAAAGAGATCTGCTATAGCATTTAGGCGAAATCATTTTAGGTAAACGGCGAAGGACGAAACCCCCTGGCGAAATGGCGAAACCTCGGCGAAAAATGATACCCCTAGAGAATGGCGAAAATCGAGGCCCTTGTTGAAAGGCGAAAGTTCTGGTGAGAGTTGAAGCCTCCATAGAAAGATTAAACCTCTGGGACTTCAATAAAAGACAGAAAGGCCGAGCTATGTTAGTAAACGAACGCATTTTTCAATGTGACTGGTGTATATCGTTAGGGTGTTAAATATCATAACGATAGAAATGTAAACGTAAAGATAGTGAAGATCACATCTATCAAAAGTTTTCGCTAGAAACCGGAATAGGGTCATTTTCGATCGGAACTCACCGGATCTAAGCCGGCCAACTACAGTCTAGCCTCCATATAGTCACCCTCCAAATAGTCACAAATTTAATATACTGTATTCACTTTTGTGAATTTACCAACTTTTTTAGACCGGGGTCTAGTACTCGCCCAGAGCTTTTGGCGTGAAAAAGAAAATTTTAAAGTGCTTACACACCTTGTATTTATAATAGGCATTCTGGCTATTTAAAAAAAACACGCGAAGATTCCGTGGTTCACGCTCGGGTCTAATTCATGGTGGGTCTACTATTTTGGGGATCTTGTATATGAATTTTTATGGTATACTTTAAAAAACATTTTTTTAATAAAATCTCTATTCTAATTGGTTGTGATGACATGGCACACTCCACAGTTGCAAAGTGAAGCACTTCATATGGTCTAAACAAAAACAAAACTTCACCTGATGGTCGCAAAGTATGCAAAGTATGCATTTTGACCTGAACTTTGAGCTGTTATATCTCTGTAGCAATAGCTCAAAAACCAATTGTGTAAAATTGGTTATGAAGAATTTTTTGATCAACTTTAATGTTGTATTAT